TCCGTGTAGATGCGCTGCCGGGGTCGGGGAGCAGCCGCTGAGCAGCCGCAGCTCCGGGAGCCGGACCGATGGTCGGGGGATGGGTGCTTGTTTTGGGGGGAAATAAAAACAACCTGGAATGAAATATTGGAATGAAATCGGGCGAGGAGGGCGCGGGGGCGAGCCGGGAGCGCTTTGTGCCGCCCGCAGCGCCTCGGGCCGGGCCAGCGGCGATGGGAAGGGGCGGCCGCGACCCCCGGGACCCCGGCGGCACCGGGCCGGGGAGCGGGGCCGGGATCCCGCTCCGCTCCGCCGCGCTCCAACTGTTCCTCTTTAAAGCTCCTCCTGCCGCCCGCGCTGACCACGCGGCGGATTTATGGAGAGAGATGTTTTAGCAGAATCCCCCCGAGTCCCCCATCGGCCCTAAATCCCCAGCCCGCGCTCCCCGGGAGCCCTCCTGACACAGAGCATGCCAAAACAGCTTCGTTTTGCCTATGCATTAGCAATCTATTTTACCTTTTTGACATCTCTCACACATAAAACCGTAAGAGAGAAATAAAATATCTGTCTCTGGGCGAAAATAAAGCTTTGCCTCCCTCCTGATCTATAGGATATAAAATAAAGCCATGGCTTTGATAGTGGCTTTTCCTTAGACCGGAGTTGCTTTTGCACACACGGAGACAATGAAGATGGATGAGCCGGGAGCGGTGCGTCCTCCGGGGGTTCGCTTCACCCTCTTTTTTTATAGCCCCCCCTCGCCCCCTCTACTTCCACACTTTTCTTTCTTTTCTCTTTTATTCGCCTTTTATCTGCCCTTTGCCGAGGGAAGGATCCCGCTCAGCTGTCCCGCAGCCCCGCCGGGCTGTCCCCGGCCCCGCTCCCGGCCACCCCCGGGCCCTTCCCGGCCGCTCTCCCGTCAGTCAAAGGCGGAGCCGCGCACCTCGGATTTGTAATTATTTATTAACCGTATTTCCCATAAACAATGCATGAGCCCGGAGCGTAAGCGACAACATTTAGCGACGTGGGCAGAAACCCGGGAGGGCTAATCACGGGGGTGGGGGGCAGGAAAATAAATAAGGAAAAGGAAAATAAATAGAAAAGAAAGGAAAGAAAAGGGAAAGACGAGCGGAGTCTGGGGGCGACAGTGTGGTGTTTACCCTCAGCATCGACCCGAGTGTGGCAGGATAAACTGGGACCTTCTAATACATAATTTAAAGATCTTTTTCTTCTTTTTTTTTTTTCTTCCAAGCTCTTTTAAAACAAACCTGGGGATGGATCCTGGGGTTTATCGCGCGGGGATGTTCTAAAGGCTTAATTACATCTTAACTTCAATATTTGGCCAGAGCATTAGCCGCATATATATTTAATGAGGCGGAGGCGCTCTTTCTGCGGGGGAAGGTGCTGCGGACGGGGCAGAGGTGGGACCCCCACCTTTTCTGCGGGGTGTCCCCCGGGCCGCGCTGCCCCGGCGTGCGGAGGGGTCGGAACCGGAGCCGCCGGTCACCGGCCCCGCCGCCGCTCCGAGCCCGGCAGCGTCCTGGAGAAAGGTTTAAAAGGAGGGGGGAAAAAAGAAAATCAAATTTCAAATGAATGGGGAAAGAGGGAAAACTCAGTGCTGTCGGGGATGGGTGTGGTGGGAGTGCGTGCGAGGGAAGTTTTTGCCCGGGGGGATGCGGGGATGCTCCACAAGGAGCCGCGGTGGTCCCGGCGAGGGGCTCAGGGGTTGTGCAGCACCGGCACCCCGTAAAGGAGACAGAAATCCCATTACTGAGCGCAGCGGTGGCGAGAGGGGATGAGAAACAGGGTGATGTTTAACTAAAAAGATGGGAACGACACCCATAAAATGCAAATTTAAACTCGCCTGAAAGCGACTTGTTTTTTTTTTTTCCTTCGGTATTAGATTTAAAATAAATTTGAGTTTGGGTTTGTTTGGCTTTTTTTTTTCCCTCTTTCATTTTCCCTCTCTCTTTATTTGGGTATCTTTCACTAGTCACTATTTTACTTACACGCTGTGTTTTTTTAAATTTTAAATTTTTTTTCCTCTTTTAATTTCCATCCTTTATTTTAAAAAAAAAAACCTTTTTAAAAATCTGCTGATTTCTCCCTTTCCTTTTCTACTCTCCTAACGTCCCTTCTTTGCAGCGCTGGGGCCGGCCGGGGTTGCTCTGGAACCTCTTGGCCGGCTCCCCGCGGGGTTCGGGTCCCGCCTGGGGCTGGGGCCTCGACCCAGGAGCGGACCTGGGCGAATTGCAAAATAGAGTGAAAACCAAAAAATCCCCCGTGCCCGGCAGCCGGCCCTCTGCGGGGGCGGCGCACGGCGCTGTTCCTCGGGGGCTCCCGGGGGTGCCCCGCGGGGCAGCCCGGGGATGCTGGGGTTGATTTTCGGATCCTGCTGGAGACAGGCGCGGCCGATTTGGCCTCTCAAGCCAAATGTGAGCGGGGATCCCCGCTGGGGGGTGAGGCAGAGGGGGCACCCCGCTGTCCCCGCTGTGCCCCTCGCTCTGTGCCGCCTCCCGTCCCGAGCGGGGCTCGGGGGGTTCGGGCGGACAGAGCCCCCCGGGGAGCGCAGCGGTGCGGGGGGACCCCGGAGCCCGCGGGGGGCAGAACCAGATGCTTTCGCTAACGCCTGGGAAAGGAGAAAAAAAAAAAAAGTAATCGCTGTGAAAACTGGTGCTCGATGGACACGAGATGCTCAGCGCCTTCCCTCATTCACCCCCACCACGCGCGGCGGCGGGGCCGCGGAGCGCTGCCCTGACGGCGGCCGCAGCTGTCGCCTTCCCGGGCGGCGGAGCGGGGCCGCCCGCCCGCGCCGGCTCCGCATGAGAAGCGCCCATGTGCGGGGCACCGGGCGGGGCGGCCCCGGCCCCACTGATCCCCGCCACGGCCCCCGAGCGAACCGACAGCTGCGCGGGGCAGCGCCCGGTGCGCGCCCGACGGGGCCGGGGCTGCCGGGGCTTTGGAGCGCCCGCGGGGGCTGCGAGGCCGCACCTCGGCCCTGGAACCGCCTCGCCTGCCCGGCCGGGCTCCGCATCCCCCCCGGTGCCGGCTGCCCCCCGCGCGGAGCGGGTTAGCTGCTTTCCTTTTTCTTACTGTCTTTCAATTTATGCCTTCCCGGTTTTTAATTTTAATTTTTTTTTCCCCCTCTCAAGGACGAGGAAAACAGACGTGAAAGAGAGCGAGCGCAGTGGGTACGGGCGGGGGATGCTGCGGGCCTCCGCGGCTCTCGGTCGTGCGTGGAAGGCCGGGCACGCTCGGACCCTTCCATCCGCCCTTCCCCTCCCGATCCCCCGCCCGTGCTCAGCCCGCTGGGACGGGGAGAGGGGCGGGCTCGGGGCCGGGGCCAGGCGGCGACACCTCCCCGGAGCGGTGGCTCCGACGGGCAGCAAAGCGCAGAGGAAAGAGAAAACTCGTCCCTCCGCACCGCCCCGGCCCCTGGAAGGTAAAAGCGAATTAATTTTTATTGACCAAAACAAAAAGAAAAAAATAAGGTTCACGGCGGTGGCCGGTACTCCTCGGCCCCGGACGTGCGCTGCGAGCGCCGGTAACGGAATCACGGCGAAGTTCCCGGCGCCTCCGCTGTGCCCTCGGCGGTGGGGTGGCCGCGGGCCCGCCGCCCCCTCCCCACCGGGGCGGCCCCGCCGGAGCGTCCCGGGCCGCGGTCCCGGCCCCGCCGCGCCGCTCCTCCCGGGAAAAGCGGCCCGCCTCGGCCTTCTCCTCGACTCCGCGCCCCGTGGGGGGACCGGCACCCAAGCGGGATCCCGTTTGTCGCCGGTCCCTCGCGAGGCGCTCCTCCGGCCACCGGGTCTCTCGAACGGATCCGTGACCCCGCGGGGGTGCCGGAGCCCACCGAGCGGCACCGCGCCCGCGTCCGTGCTCCCTCACACCTACCGGGCCGGCCGTCGGCGGGGCGATCGCTCGGTGCGCCGCTCGCTCGCTCGCTCGCTCGGTCGCTCGCGGGCCGGCGGGCGGAGGCGGCGGCGGCGCCCCGGCGGCTCTATAAAGGGGCGCGGACGCCCCGTCCGGCGGCGGCGCGGCGGGCGCGGGGGGCGGCGGCGGCGGCGCGGATTGGCCGCGGCGGGCGGTGACGTGAGCTCTCGGTGCATAAGGCTGCGGCGGCGGCGGCGCCGGGACCATGCAGAGCCCCTGCGCGGCCGGACGGACGGCGGGGCCGCCCCTCTGCCCCGCGCCCTCCGCCCGGCCCGGGCCTGCGCTCCGCCACCGCCGGGCCATGCCACGCCGGGGACACGGGCGGCCGCCGCGCCTAGCGATGCGCGGGGGTAGGTAGGACGGACGGACGGACGGACGGACGGACGGACAGACAGAGCCGGGCGCGACGGTGCCGCCGAGAACGTCGAGGGAGAGTGAACGGGAAGAGAGAGAGAGAGAACGAGGAGGAGCGGCGGAGCGTGTCCCCGTCCCCGCGTGTCCCCATCCCCGCGTCAGGACGCGCAGGGCGATGTCGCCGCGGCAGCAGCCACAGCCCGTCTGACCGCCACCGCCTCTCCATGTCCCGGCTCGTTATTTATTATTCTTATTATTGTTGTTGTTGTTATTATTATATTTTTTCCTCCTTTGATTTCTCATTGGGAAAAGCACTTTGACTCCTGACTGCTCTACCTCAGACCTTAGAAAAAACTCATCACGCTCGCTTTTTTGGCGGTTTTATTTTTAATTTTTTTAATTTTTATTTTTCTGAGCGCCGATCTTTATAGCCGTTATTGTTTTATTGTTGCTATTATTATTACTATTATTATTATTATTATTATCCGTGTGGTTGGTAGCGGCCGGGATCCTGCGGCTGTGTCGAAGAGCTGGGCAGTGGGGGATTCTCCTGTGTACCCCTCCTAGGACACTCGAAAGAAGATTTTTCTTCTTCCTCCCTTTCTTTTTATCCTTCTTCACTTCTCCAAGGCTTTTAAAAGATACATAAACAAAAACAAGAAAAAAGAAAGAAAAAAAAAA